TTCAATTGATGCAACTCAGTAATTTTTATTGCAACTGGAAGACAATACATCACAGAAACTTTATGGTAGGTCTGGGGAAAAGTGTTATTTACAATAAATGATGAAATAGTTTGTCTTTGGCAATATGATTACATATGAAGAATGCAAAATGCAAGTAGAGATCCTCCAAAGCAACACCATGAAGTCCCTAGAGTTTGGCTGACTTTGCCCATCTCCAAACTGCTCCTTTAGGTTAACACAAACACAACTGAACATCACTTTCCTTCTCCTTTGCAGTTCTCCCTTTCTATTCATGATATTGGCAGTTTCATACAGAAGAAAAAAATTGGCTTTTGAAAAAAATTATTACTGTTGTAAGTTAATTTGGCCATCTAGGTCTATTGGCCAGCAAAGGTGAGTTGACCTTAAGCATCAGTCATAAACCTCTTGGTCTTCTGATTGCTTTATCACTTTCTTTTTTCTTCTGTAAAGCAAAAACAAAACTCAGAAATGTTACAGAATCAGAGTATAAAAAAATGTACAAGGTATATGCTTCCCAGACACACATGAATACTTTTTTCCTCCACATTTTCACCATGGCAATATAAGTAGTGAGTGTGAATGACACAGCATGAAACTGGTTACTGAATCTGCCATGAGCTTAGATGGGCTCAACATACATACTCAGAAACGGTGAGTGTTTTATTAACTGAGTGTGTGTTACGTTTCCTCTAAAAGGGATGGGGGATGGGGAACTCAGGCCACAGTCATGAAAGGATAAAATACAACTTCTAGGTTCACCATATTGAAGTCTTTGAGAATCCAATGTGGAATATCAACTATTTGCAAAAGGTGGAGAAGGCTTTTTCTCCAGTTTTGCAAATGAAACACAGTGGAGAAACACTGCTGTATATATTTCAAATAAATAGTCGCCATTTCAACACTAAGAGAACAACAGGAAGGGAACGTGTGAGCATCGCAGGGTAATTCAGAAAAGGATCTTTTTCACCTAGGTCTGATCTCAGAAGCACAACGGCAAGATGCAGCACCATAGATACATTGGTTTTGGCTGTTAAAAGATGAATCATTTTGCAAATGGTGTTTTCCTTCCTTAATTTTTGGTCAGTGAAGCTAGCACTTTGCTGAACTGTGGAAGAATGCCAAGGTCACACAAATTGTTCATGATAAAGCAACTGAGCTGACGAGTCTGTGCTTAATTCAAGAAGAACCAGCAGGAGAGCAGACACAGGAGTCAGCCACCATGGCTGGTGCTCTCTCAAAGGAAGAGGGTCAACAGATGACTTCACAAAGGTAGGTAAATCTATATAGAACACTGAATGCCGTGTGTAAATCCTCATGAAATTCCAAGAAACAGGAACACCACACAATGTATATACTTTGATTTACACATTCCATTACAAAGAAAAAAAGAGACACCATTACAACTTTGTAACTATTAACTGCAATATAAACTGAAGTCCAGAGTTTGGCAGGTAACTAAAAGGGGTTTATCACTTAGGTTATATAGCAAAAGTGTTGATGTATATTATATATAGTAGTATAAATAATAAAAAAGTGTTATTTAAATTAGATCACAGTGCTGCATTATGTGCATAACAGTGTTTGATACAGTATTGGTGGTCTGGGACCTACAACACTAAGGACTTAACTGTCAACACTGGTAAGTCACAATCAAGAGGGGACATAGAGTTCCAATGTTTTCTTTTGGTGGCAAAAAAAAAATTCCTGAAGATGAAAGAAAAAATACTTCTCCACAAACATAAAAATAAATCGCAACATCTGGGCAGCTGTGATCCACCAGAAAGAAATGAGTCCCAATCTGCATAAAGTTGAAAGGGAAAGAGAAATCACATTGAATTTAATCCGATCCCATATGCAAAGCCCTCCCCTGTAGGTCACTTGTACAGACTCATTCCTTCTGAAAGAGCCCTTCAGCAGGAGGCTGGAGGCCCCGTAGAGGAGCCACTGTTACTCAAGTCAGCTGCACGTGGTGCTGGGCAGACCCCGTGTGATGGACTCAGAGCAGGCAGAGCCATCCTTATGGCTTCCACTCTACAGAGCCCACTGCCCTGCCTTGGGCAGGGCACCATTTAAGGCAGTGGCCTCTTCCCAAATGTCCCATGGGAGTACCTGCCTCAACCAGCAGGCACTAGCCACACCGAATGCCTCTGTAAGAAAAATCCATTCCTGGGGGAGGCCTCTGACACATTCCTCCTTCAAAACTCTGCCCCAAGATTGCAAACTGCCCCAGGTGTCTTGGCCATGGTTTTCTCAAACTACCCTAGAAATGTGGGTTTGGTTCAAGATTGATTGTTTTAAAAAATGATTAAAATCTAAAGTCAATATAAATGTGTACACTAAAATTGAGAAAAAACCATTTTTTTCTGGGGTTTATATATCTTTTGTGTAGAACAGAAAAAAGTACAAAACCACTATATACAATCTTTTTTTTTTTTTTTTTTTTTTGGTACCGAGGATCCAACTCTGGACCTTGCGCTTACAAGGCAAGCGCCGGAACCACTGAGCTAAATCCCTAGCCTATATACAATCTTATTCCTAGCTAAAAATCTATTTTGGCTTTTCAATTTTTATCTGTCTGCTTTAAGAAATTGTTCCTGTATGAGTTCCATCCCAGAAAACAGAAGTGGAATATCCACAGTAACTTCCAGCAATTTTTCGTGTTTTGTTTCTCTTTGCTCCCTTCACAGCCATCTCAATTCTTTTATTGCAGCTGCATAAATATGTTTTTACAGATTTCACATTCCCCCAAAGTCCTGTTAGAATCCAAATAAAATCATAACAATACAGCAGCAATAAGACATTGAAACAGAGTAATACATCAGTAGCTGAGCTACAAATGTTTCCTTCAGACTGCTGAGTCCTAAGATGCTGTCTACATCACTGTGATAAAGGAAGTAGGTAAAATAATGGCTTTGAATTGTCTTAGAGAGATATGGTTGGGACTGTGATTTTCAACATTATACTTATATAGTAGACTTTCAGGCCTTGGGGGAGAAAATCCTGCTTTGGGTTTTGAATATTCCAGAAGGAGTTTTGGTGGCTATAAAAAGGAGAACCAGATAAAGACAGACACCCAGGAAAGGGTAGAGTGAACCTGGGAGTTGACCAGGAGGAGCGAAGGAAAAAGAAAAAAGCAATGGGAGTGGAGGAAGAAAGCAGAATGGTGTCTGTGGGATGGGACACAGACCCCAGGGAAGTGGCCATAGCTATAAATCTGCCCAGCTTGTTTTCATACAGCTCTTCTTTCACACAAGATCCCGTTTAGCTCTTGACTTGACTGTTTATTGTCTTTCGCCTTGAGAAAGTCTCTTTCCTTTTTCAAGTCTTGCTTTCCATGTTTTAAAATGTGAAAAATAATGCTCATTTCCTGGGGTATTGTGAAGATTAGAGGAGATAAAAACATAGATAACATATGCAAAACTCATTCTACCGCCTGGTGGGTAGTCAGCACTCTACAAATGCTGATTGTCTTTCCTATCTCTGGATTACTTTCTTATCCTTTCCAGATGCTCAGGGGTTATACAAATTTGAGAATTTTACCATTTATGTGCTGCATATTGCCTCCCATGACCTTCATTCCTGTAGGAACAAAACTATGTTGATGCAGACCCAAGAAATTACAGGAGAGAAGGTTCAGAAGGTTCTGGGTTTGGTAAATGAAGCTTATTGTGACTTTACAGGTGCTCAGTCTCAATGAGTTGGCAAGATGCTCTTGAGTGGGCTGGAAGCCACGATTCCTCCAGGGACCACTTCAGGTAGACAGACACTTCCTTTAGTTCTCACCATCTCCCTGGCTGTGTTTGTTGGTGCATCTTGATTTCACTCTCAGTATAAGATCAACTATTTCTTTTAGCTCTTGGCAGATGTAGTTTCCTTGATGTTTAACCTCACTGTATTGGTCAGCTTCCTGTTACTGTAACAAATCCAGGAAATGATCAACTAATAAAAAGGAAAGTTTTATTTGGGTTCAACATTTGGGCCATGGTCAGTTGGTCCCCTTGGCTTGGACCTGTGATGAGGCAGCACATCATGGAAGGGGAAAACTGTTCACCTTGTGGCTGGATGTGGAAGAGAGAGGAAGAGGAAGTGGTGGGATTTCTCAGTTTCCTTCAAAGACACATTCTTAATGATTAAAAACTTCCCAGTAGGCCTCACCTCTGAAAGGATCCACTATTTCCCAGAGTGCCACCTGGGGAACACACCTTAACGTAGGTACCTTTTGGGAGTCATTTGAGATCCAAACTATAGCACTCATTTTCTTCTTCATTAGGCCAGGTCTGACCCTCCTTCTTCCTTTCCTTCTCCCCTCTCCCTCTCTCCTTCTTTCTCTTCTTTTCCCTCTACCTCACCACCTTCTTTCTTTCCTTTTATATTTTGGACTGCTGTTGCTTGAACCCAGTGTTCATGCTAGACAAACATTTACCACTGAGCTACACCCCAGCCCGACACATCCTTTAAATCTCAGATTATCTGTCAATTTATAAAAAATGGCATTTATTATAATTATGATTATAATCACTAGTTGTAGTATAGTGAATTCCATATCTTGTTCTCTGATTTATTTCTAATATTTGGACCATACGAGTATACCATCAGTATTTATTGATTGAATATATATGTAAATACACCAACCAGTCACAGAAACAGCTGGGAAAGGCTTTGAGTGGGGGGTCTTCATTTAAATTTAAAATTGGGCCTTAAATTTAAAACTTGGCTTTAATTAAAACTCCAAAGCTTTACAGATATTCCCTCATGTACAATGCTGCTTGGAATAAATCTGTCTCCATGAGAGGTAGCTGTAGACCAAGTGATTGTTTACTTTAGTGACATATAGGAAAGCAGTTGAAGTGAGAGATTTCATTATAGGCTTATCTTCCTAACTTAGAATAATGTTCTGTAGTTACTGAACATACTATCACATTATAATAGAACAAATATAATTTATAGTCTAACAAAAGGTGAAATTTTATCCAGCTCAACTAACTTTGACTTAGTCTGCTCTCGGCCAGTGATTCTCAAACTTTAGTACACATCAGACTCGCCGAAGGGGGATTAAAACTCAGATTGCATTTGATTGGAGACATCAGCACTCTACTCTCAAACCCTAATAGAACCACTAGAAAAGATATTAGTAGGGTTACTAGACAGGCACAATCCCATCAAACAATAGCATCTAATTAAAATTTATGGAACATGCTATCCCACACAATGATACATATTCTCTTCAGGTGCAATGGAACATGCCCCAAGATAAATCATATTCTGGGTTATAACACAAACATTAAAAATTTGAAGAATTAAAATCCCATTAAACTGAGCATTCTAATCACAATGGAATGAAACTAAAAATCACTGACAAAAGACAATGGGATAATCTCTGAGTACTTAGAAATTAAACAACCTACTTTTAAATAATCTGAGTCAAAATGCAAGTCTCAAAGGGAATGCAAAACTGCATAAGATTAAACAAAAATTAAAGCATCCCACCAAATTGGTGGGATGTAGTGAAGGCAGTGATGAGAGGGCATTGGAGAAGAGGGAGGATGGCAAATCAATAGTCTCACTGCTCAGGGTTCTCCAGAAACAGGACTCATTCATGATATCTGTCTATCTATTCATCCAGCTCTATATGTCTTCACAGAGATTTATTGTAAGTATTGCCTCTCATGAGATTCTGGAGGTTGAAAAATGTCATGATCCCTGTTATTTCCAAGCCAAGGACCCAGGAAAACCAGTTCCAGTCTGAGTCTGAGCCCAAGAACTTGAACACAAGGTGTAAGTTGTAGTTCACATCTGAAGTGCTCAGAACCTGGACTGCCAACAGTGTAAGTGCTAGTCCAAGGGCAGGGGACTGATGTTTCAGCTCCAACAGTAAGGGAAAAAGAGAGAGAGAGAGAGAGAGAGAGAGAGAG